TAACACCTACCTGTTTTAATGAGATCTTGGCTTTGGCCGTTCAGCATAAGCTGCTGCCATGTAAGCTAAAGAGTTATCTACCATCATCATCATCACGTCATTGAAAAACAGGAACAGGTCACCAGCCCCAGAGAACAGTCTGCCCCAGTACAGCTCTCCTAATTCCCACAGCATCAGGGAGAATTTGCCCTGCAGGGATTCCTAGAAAATGGATCAGATAGAACTCTGCAACCCTACAGTTAAACACATAAGTGAAGTTAAAAGTCAGAGTTCAGTTAGTGTTTCATTTGACTCCCCAAAGATGGTATCATTTAGATAAGAACGGTCTGGCCCTACGCCATCCTACTCCCTGCTTCAAGGCATCAAAGTCCAGCATCTGTTGGTCTGGCAGCAGATTGACAATAACACAGCTCAAGTGTCACTGAAGACTGTAAGCAAAGTGGAAGGAGGAATGTTTTACTTTTACTTCTGCTAGATTTTTTTCCAGCTTTTGCAGGAAAGCAACTTTAGTGGGATAACGGAAAAAAATAATCTCCAAGGTAATTACTTCCCATTACAAATTCCCTGGAAAGAGATACGTGCCTCTCAAAAGCCCAGATACATCCTGTGTCAAAAGAAAAACAGCTATACAACAGAACATACAGCCCCATCACCACTCCATAACAGACGACATAAGTCATTGACAAATGAAGTGATACGCATGCGCATAGATGTAACTCTGATACAACACATAGGAATCCATCAACGAGCACCACAGCTAGAAAGAAAAAACTAAATACATTCTGATCAACTTTTTCAATTAAAGAGTTACTTCAGAGAGCCCAATCAGTCAGATTAACAATAACCAAGCTTCTGGAAAAACCGCGCACGCACACGTGCGACAAAGTTTTATCTTCCTCTATCATCTTCCCTTTGGCTGCCAAACACACAGCTGACTTGAAGCATAAATCCACTAGCATTTAAAGGAGAAAAAATTAATGCAGAAAAAGCAAGAGAAACGTTGTAAATGAAACCATGTAAGCAAGCAAGAAATATGGAACCTCATTTACCTGGCTGTATCACCTCCAACCTCTACCACAAGGCACAATTTCTGTACCCTTACAACACTGCAGTTATATTAATATAAGTCTTCATAGCTTATTCATATGTAGAAGTTGCTTACATTTTTCACCTACTGTCATATTCTAGGGAATCTCTTCTTAGACTTGAGACCAATTTTTATACCACCTCAGCATTTTCTCCTAAGAAACACTCAAATACGCTTTGTAGTCCTTATCACACACTAGCAAGAGTTTGGCCAAGCTACACTTCCTCCAGCAGATAGGCTCTCATCTGTCTCAGAGATAAAAAATTACACATTATCTCCAGTGGATGTAAAAATAGTCGTCCTCATCTGCAGTTACATGTAAAACAGTAATACTTCTGCTTTTATTTCAAAACGGTATTGTACATACAAGTTACTGTGTTTGGAAAGAAGCACACCAGACAAAGCGATTTCAGAAAATAAAATCCTTTGCTGACACCAAGGAAACACTTTCTTAAAATAATGCATAGCTAGTATGAAACTGTGATTTTCTGTTCTTTAATATTAATTGACAAAGACTTCAAGAATCAACTAAAGCAAGAGAACCTGTTAATTACAGTGCCTGTACTAAATACCATTAACAGAGAGAATGTTTCGAGACAGTGATCTCCAATTGCAGATTTGCAGACTGCCAAAGTTCAACTAATTAAGACTCAGTGATTCTCCACCCTGGGCTGAGTTACACCAGTTACAGACGGGATCGCAAACCAACTTCATTAAATTTGTTATACTCTGGATTGTGAGCCTGGCTGAGAATCAAAGTGAAGTCAAAGCCCAAAATAGTTTGGGATGCGCAGCCCAATGCAACACACAGCAAGAGACGTACAGGATCAACCTAAAGATCCTCTAGTCCTAAACTACTAACATTTCGCCACCACGTGCCTTCTGCAGCAACACGTAACAAATGTAATATCATCAGGCTGGGAAAAGGTTGGTTTCTTATCTTGGAAGACCTTGTCACACCAGAATTATTTTTTTTTCTTTTTTTTTAAGTTAACATATTGAAAGAGGAAGACAGAAATGTTTAATTGAGGACTATTTCTACTTGAGCTGAATTGCCAGTCAGTAAAGACTGGCAAGTTATTTATCATCTAAGAACAAAGTTTGAAAAAATAAGTAAAATACACTAGATACCGTTGTATCTGAAATGAAAGCATCCTGAGAATTTACGATCATTGCAAGCAGAATTCCAACTAAAAAATATTTGCAGAGAGACAATTAGTTTCCATTCATAAGTCATAGGAGCCAAGTCTGCACTTAGTTTAAAAAAAAAAAAAAAAAATCTATCTAGCTCTCCTGTTTTCCAGAACATATTACCTTATTTAAGCAAAGTTTATATATGCTTTGAGCCATTCCTACTTGGAAAAAAGGGAATTTAAAGTAATCTTCTATTTACCCAAAGAAAGGAAAGGGTATCACACGTAGACAAGTTTACAGCATCTGAAACAGGGCTCAATTCAATTAAAAAAATCTTGTAAACTTCTTTCTTCGGTCACTCAAGGTCATAAATAACTGCACTATTTGTACCACCCTACCTTCTGCTTAAGAGTCCACATTTAGAAAAGGTGCTATTTTATATAGCTAGTTTCTTATATAAAAGTTTTTGGACTTCCAGGATCGTTGAAGGAAAAGACAGACCTTAGTCATATGCTAACTTTCCAACAAAGTTACAGCAAGAAGCTCCAGCTAAAAATAGAATACGTATTTGTGCATTCCTGGTGCCCTGCCAGAGCTTTAGTTTCTAAATAGGATAACCATCAGTGGACAGAAATTTACTTTTTTTGTAGACTGCATAGTTAAAATGTAACTTTGAGATGCATTTTAAATAGATAATTTCAAACTATGCAAGATTATACAACATAAATCAAAGAAAAATGCTAACCCCTTTATCCTTAACTATATCTACATTCAAGAGAAAGAATATTTTTTCCACATACTACTTTGCCAACATTTTGTCTCTTCATTCCAAGAGATCCATTTTCATAGCATTTTTAACTTGATTATTCGTAGATATGCCTGCAATCACTATATCAGGCCTTTTACCATACAAAAAAATTCAATACAACCTTGCATCAGTGAAATTTTCAGGATTATATGGCTAAATAATTCCACCAATACCCTTCCATAGCAAATACCCTTCCATCAGGCCATTTTTGTGTATAACCAAGCTGGAATCTGTTTAAAGATTCCAAGAATAAAAAGAAAATGCTATTACCAGCAGAGACTACTTGAGGGAGGGATTCATATGCTGTGTGTACATGTTTATGTGCTAATTGACCGATGAGACCTAGTATCTCTCTCTTCACGTGCTCCTATTATCCTTCGCTGCCTATTATGTGTATCCACAGTGACGGCTGTCTCACTAAAACGTGAAATAAGCAACACATTGGGAAGAAAATCTGGAAGGTTATCATATACAGAACAAAATCCAACCCAACAGTATCAGGTTCACCCAGGGTGGAGGAGGGGTGTGTGTAGACCATGAATGAGAAAAGACAACCTTCTGAAGGTGGGCTAGACTCCAGATTGCCCTAAAAAAGGCAAACACGAGCTGCTCCCTATTTCCGCAAGCACACGTGCCTTCTTTCCCCCACTAAAATTACCAATGGCAAGAAGTACCACAGGACACGCGTGTCAGACAATATCAATCCTTCATGCTTTGTCTATTACGTAAGATAATACCATGTTCACATGGAAGTATGCAAAGCCACTAGGTACTGTGTTTTGAGACTGCGTGATAAAAGCATGAACAGAGAAATCTTAAGTCTGTGCAGGTCTTTACATACAAAACACAGACAAGATGTATCATACCTCCCTTCCAATGGACTGTCACGAAAGGAAATGCTTAATATATTAAAGATGTCTGAAAAGTCAGATCAAACCCATGAGCTAGGCAAACAGATTAAGCCTATGTTCCAAAATTTTTAAAAAAGCACGTTATAAAAGATGAACTATGTGCCAAAGCTGTACATGTAGATCTAAATCAGTAAAAATGGTGTTAAAACTGTAGACACAGACTCAAAGACAACCTAACTTCTGGGTTATCCCAAGACAACCAAACAAACATTCAAGAAAAACACACCCACATTTCTTCAAAACAGCAGAGGGTTTTTTTTGTTTTTTTTTTTTTTTTTTTTTTTTTTTACTTCTGATCCAAGTTTCCCCAAGTAATTAAGTTTGGAACACTGTATCCCTTATGAGTTTCCATCAAGCCCAAATGAAGATTCTACATCAAAGTTTTCCTCAAAATGCTCTACACTCATTAAAGATTATTATTCAATGCTAACTGATAAATGCCTTAGAAAAACATTCCGCAGCTGTTTTCTTTACATGTGTATGTTACAGTCTTTACTCTTACCAATTAAGTTACAGTCTTTACCCTACCAATGTGAGGTCTCATTACAAAAATCCCAGGAAGTGTATTTATCAACCAAGTCTTCCCTTTGAAGGAAAGGTATCACCTCTACAGCCACCATGGGATATGCACTGCAAGAACACTGAAGCTTTTATGAAAATAAAATGAAGTCTGAAGGGAAATCCTACCATGACTTTCAATTTACAAAGTAACAGCTTGAGAAGGGCTTGGACATTTTCTGCAATACAGCTATTTGCCATTATCTCTTACTACTGTCAAACCAATCATTCCAAGAATATGAATATCTAGATCTTTATTGCTTTCTAAATTAATATCAACTTGATTATTCAACACAAATTATTAGCTCCTGTAAAACTTCCATGAAATTACAAGCTGATGTTCAGCTAGTTAGAGCTCACACCAGAGCGTATAAACTGCTTTTCTTTCATCATAGCAGTTTTATTATTCACATTCAAGTAAAAGGTTTTACTAGAGCACACAAAGTTCTGGTATCCAACACAGAGAATTACAGAAAACATCAGATTGACACAACATTCTTACTTTTAGCAGTTCAAAATAATGAAGACAGTGGTAAACAGGGGCAAGGAGCAGTCGGGGTAGAACATACTGAACAGCTTCTTTAAAGCCTTCACCTATTGACTAGAAACAAAATAAGTTTCAGTCTTAAAACAATAAATGTATTGAAGCAGCAATATAATGTCATTAAAATAGCAATATCAATAATATGGCTTACTTAAAAGAAAGTTACCTGTAAATAAAATGCTGCTCCTGGCTTTGATAATTGACTTAGAAAATGATCATGAAAACCAGGTCGCAAAATATCTTGTGCATACGATTCATATGGATCAAATGCTAGTTCCTAAGAAGAAACACAGAATAATTTTACAAAACCGATTTAATAGCTAAACTTCATATTTCTTAAAGAAAATAAATACGCTACATAGCAGAGACCTTTCTGCATACTTTTTCTAAAACACCTACAGAGAAGAATCAGTACTTTTACATGCACAGACTCATGGAGTAATTCAGTCTGGAAGAGATCTTTGGAGGTCAACTGGTCCAATTGCTTGTTAAAAGCAGGGCCCACCTCAGGGCCTCATCCAGTTAAGTTCTGAGTACTTCCAAGAACAGAGGCACCAAAACCTCTCTGGGCAGTCTGTTCCAATATTCAGCTGTTCTCGTTGCAGATTTTCCACCCCCCCCAGTATCTAACCAGGATTACCCTTTCTACCATTCACACACTCTCTCTCATCTCACTTCACAGTTCTCTACTGTGAGAACCCCCAATAAAAGCCTGCCTCAGTCTTCTCTACACCTTCCCTTCAGGTAACTGAAGACAGCAATAAGACCTCTTTCCTCAGACTTCTCTTTTTAAGACTGAAGAGCCCCAGCACTCTTAACACTCTTAGTACATCATGGGCCTCAACTCCTTAATCATCATGGCAACCCTCATTTATAAGTATATTTTGTACTAGGAAGACCACAACCAGACACAGTATGCCAGATGTGGTCTCAGGTGCTACAAAGAAATGATCCCTCAACCTGCTGGCTACACTTTTCCTAATACAACCCACTAGGCAGTTAGCCTTCACTGCTGACTCCTGAGGATCTCCAAGCCCTGTCGAGCAGTGCTGCTCCTCAGCCAGGCAGCTGGATCATTGCATGGTGTTGTTCGGTCCTAGGTGCAGAACTTCATGTTTGCCTTTACTGAACTCCATGAAGTTCCTGTAGGTCCACTTCTCCAGCCTGTCAGTTCCCTCCAAGAAGTAGCCCTGTCCTCCTGTGTGTCCCTCCACAACTTGGTATCACCTACTAACTTGATGAGGCAGACCTCCTACCACAACACTAGTACAGACCTTAAACAGTATCAGGCACAGCATCAAACCCTGAGGAACGCCACTAGCCATTGGCCACCAGATGGACTTTGTATTGCTGATGACAGTCCTTCAAGTTTGACAGTCCAGCCAGTTTCCCACCTGCTTTATAATTCAACTAGGTAGTCTACATCTCACCAAGCTGACTCTACAGATCCTACGAGAGACTGTGATGAAGTCCTTGCTTAAGGTCAGATAAGTGATATTAACTGCTCCTCCTTTTGCTCGTGGAGCCAGCCATTTCCTCTTAGAAAGCAGTCAAGTTGGCCAGGTACAGTTTGTCCTTTGGAAATCTGTGCTGGCTGTTGACAACCTCCTTCCAGTCCTTCACAGGGCCGGTTGTGAATTCCAGAAAGATTTGCTTATCTTCTCAGGGACTGATGAGAGGCTGATCAGCTTCTAGTTTCCCAGATCCTCCTCATCAGTCTTTTTGAGATGGGACATAAAACTTTATCTCCATTCACTGTAAACCTCCAAAACTCGCCACTAAATTTCAAGAATTCTAGGCAGTGGCCTTGCAATGACATTATCCAGCTGCCTCAATATCCTGTCCTGCCCCGCAGACTTGCATATATCCACCTTATATCAACAGTCCCTAAGTTAACCTATGACTTTCACCTCTCTCCCTCAATCTTTGGTAGCAGGCCTAACTGGGAAACCTAGAAGCACATCTTGCCAGTAACGACCAAGCGAAGGAGACTGAGTACCTCATTCCATTCCATATCCTCCAGCACAGGGTCTCACCCCATGAGCAAGATACCCACATTTTCTACCATTTTTTTTCGTGCTATTTTACCTATACAAGCCCTTCTTGCTTTGCTTCACATTCCTTAGCAAGTCTAACTCCAGCTGAGCTGCAGCCCTCAATACCGTTTCCAGCCGCCTACAAAATGCTTCCACATTCCTCCTGGCAAGCCAGTGTTTCTTTTTGAATCATAGAATCCTTTAGGTTGGAAAAGGCCCTTAAGATCATCAAGTCCAACCATGAACTTAACACTACCAAGTCCAAGACTAAACCTCCTAAGTGCCACATCTACACGTCTTTTAAATCCCTCCAGGGATGGTGACTCTGCCACTTCCTTGGGCAGCCTGTTCCAGTGCTTGATAACCCTTTTCAGTGAATAAATTTTTCCTTATATCCAGTCCAAACCTCCCCTGGTGCAACTTGAGGCCACTTCCTCTCATCCTACCACTTGCTACTTGGGAGAGGAGATCGATACCCACCTCACTACAACCTCCTTTCAGGTCTCCCCTCAGCCTCCTCTTCTCCAGACTAAACAATCCCAGCTCCCTCAGCCACTCCTCACAGGACTTCTCTAGACCCTTCAATAGCTTCGTCGCTCTTCGGACATGCTCCAGCACCTCAACGTTTTTCTTGTAGTGAGGGGCCTTTGTTTGGTTGAACAGGAAACTACAAACACTGCTTGTCCTTGCCTCCTGCTACACCTACCTTTTTCTTCGAGACTGGGCATGAATATTCCTCGTGCTTTGAACACACCGACTTTGAAAATAAACCAGCTCTCCTGAGCCCTTTCTATCCTCAAGGCAGACACCAACGTGTTCCTGCCTCCCAGTTCCCTGAACAAGCCAAGTCTACTCTCCCAAGGCCCAGAGTTTTCAGTCTGCTTATGTCCTGCACTTCTCTCAGGACCTTAAGCTCTACCACCTGTGTCCAAGCCTGCCATTAGCTACAATGTTGCTGCCATTTCTTCCTTGTTCATGAGAGAAAGATCAAGTACAGCACCTTTCTTCATTGGCCCATCAGCATGTACCACAAAAACCTGTCCTCAGTGCTGCCCAGTGATCTTCTGGATTACTTCAAACAGAGTAAATTGTCCACCCAGCAGATGTCAGGAAGTTTATTCTCCCAAGAGAACCAGGGCCTATGACAAGAAGATGACTCCTGCTTGTTTAGAGAAGGTTTTGGCCATTTGTCGATGGGCAGTCTTTGCAGGAGAAGCTTGACTACAACACACCCTTTCATGGCCTCCTCCTCTGATCCTGATCCTTAAGCATTCAACCAGCTCATCACTCATTCTGTAACAGAGCTCCATGTGTTTGAGCTGATTTTCTGTTAAGCTTCCTGGCCTCATCTTCCCCACCTGTCCTTCTTGAGTGCCCGTATTTGTTCATACAGCCCTCCATCATGCAACCCTTCCTACCATGTTGCTAATTCCAGTCACACTACAGCTCTGTATCTGTGCACAGACACCCAGATCCTCCTATGGATATGAGCAAATACATCCTTGGGAAGCAGACACTTCAGATGACCCTTTGTTCATCCCACCTTCTCAGGAGGAAGGTGCAAGAGCCTTTGTTGTCATGCTTTCCGTTATGCACGTCCTCTTCTCCTCTCAATTCTTCAATCTGCCAGCTTTGGTCTCCATCCACGAATGAGCCTAGTTCAAAAGCCTCCCTGACTAGCTTAGCAAATCTGTTAGCAGAGAAGCCCTTGTTCCACTTTGTCTTTCCACAGCAATCCTGATCTACAGCTGATTTACAGGATACTTACATTTCTGCTAAAGTCTAGTCACAGGTGGTGGTGTGTTTGTTTTGGTTTATTTTCCCCTTGTGCTCTCTAAAGTTTAAACAGCCCTATAAAAACTGAGATTTAGAGGCTAAAAAGGTAAAAACATTCTCAAAAATGGGCAGTCTATTCATCATGGTGGGACTGGAAGAAGAGATCTCAACCTAAACAAAGGCAGCGAGAACAGAGATGCACTTAGCATTTTAAGTTCAAGTAATTAAAATACATACGAATAGCAAAAAAAACCCCAAGTATTTTCTTACCTCTGCCATGTCTTCAAAACAGCTGCCTACTAGCGGATGAGGACTACCCTCATCTGTCATTTCAACAGTGTCTTCTATATGACCTAATAATTTCACACTAAGTTCATGAATGTCTGATATACGACTAAATATATTTTCCACATCCTGCAAAAGGCAACAGAACACGACAAAAATCAACAGGAAATTGGGCACAATTTCTAAGAGGAAGAATGTTATGTGCAAAGATACTCTGTTATGATATGAAAATCAAGTACTTCCTTAAATAGAACAAGATTTCATAATTTATTTTATTGCATACTTTCTGTATAATGTATCTAAGATCATGGAATTTATTTTTAAAATATCGACTATGTATATATGCATAAATATATAAAAACCTACAATGATTCAAACATGGCAAAGAACAATCGTGAAAAATATTAAATTACAGGCCTGCAAGTGACTATAGTAAACTGGGTGGTCTCTTCAACATTTCTACAAAAGCAGTACTTCCCCACAAGCGCTCCTTTACTATTTCCATTTCAGAAGAAGACAAATGCTTCCTCTGCTATCGATATGTTAAACTGGACAATAGTAAAGTTCTAGAAGTGTCCATCTAGATGTACAGATACTATAGTAGGGGGTTTTTGTATTTGTGGTTTGTACAATACTTACATGAGATGAAAATAGTTTGGAGTTGGAGGCATATGGCTCTCTAAAAACTCTGATAATGAGATTTAATTCCCTTATATATTGTCGAACCTCTGCCATAAATGACTTCACTAGGTCATAATAGGTTTGCTCCCCTGAGGTGGAGGGTTCCTCATCGGATAAAGTTAGTGCACTTAAATCTTCTACATCTTGATGGAACATATCCATTAACACCTACGTAGCAAAGAAGGGGAAATCCACAAAGTGAGAACAACTTCTTTTCAAGATCTATGAGTAAGTTACCAGGAAATCTATTATTCCCATGAAATCAGACTGATTGTTAAATCTTAACAAGAATACAGCATAAGATGTATTTCAACATACAAGATGACTTTGTCCTGGGATAGAGGGATGAGATAGTATTTATAAATAAATCTGCTGCCCACAGCTACACCCCTTCCAGGAAGTCATGAAGTATATCAAACAATACATATGAACTTCAAAATAAATGAGAACTGAAGTGTTGCTTGCCAGCCTCCCTTCCGAACCGATGGAGGTGAAGCCATGGCAACCTTAGCCCTGTTACTGCAGAGACCGATATGACTGTGGCAGTCACTGAAAAGACTGAGGAAAAGACCGCAGGATCAAAGCTGTAAATAATTCTCCGAGAACCACACAAGGGAAGGCTAACACATTAAACACGGACTGGAGTTTTTTAAATTGCAGAAAACAGAACAAAGAAGTGTTTTTAAAAATAATTCTAAAATTGGAGATCAAGAATTAAACCTCTGAACAAGCCATCACAAACATGACGTTTATCTTGGTATTTACAGTAGAAGTTTTCTTTCTTTAAAGCGTGTTACGGGCACTTCTCCAGAAGACATTTCAGTTAACCGAGCTGTTGACTACTGATATTAGACAAATGAACTATTCTGCAAGAGAATACTTGGGCATCTATAAGTTCAAGAGACAGTCTGGGAGGTTCATCAGACTTTACTGACAGAAACATACCTAGGGAGATCAGTCAGTCTTTATCCAGGTCTCGTCCTAACACTCCTCAAAAATAAACAGGTCTAGTGAGGAGTGAAGTGGGCACACAGCTGATTCTTTCTTCTATTGAGTCAAAGATCCCTGCTACACACCCTAGTATGCTTCTCTGAAAGCGTAACAACGGAGATTTTGCATTACAACTGACTTCTTCTGAAACTCTAAGAACAGAAGGTGATTCATCTTTCAAAGACAAGGTACATGGAACTCAGGTTATAAGGAGGATCCTAACTAATTCTGGGAAATGGAACATTATCGGGTCACTACTGCAGGAAATTACATGGAATAAAGCAGGTATTCGAGGAGGCCCCGACATTTGTAACTTTACTTCACAGACGCAGTTGCAACACATACTTGAGCTAGAAGATTCCAGGCTGTATTCACAAGGTCCATATCTCACTATGATGAAATCCACAGAAACACATTACAGTAACTATACCTCAGATATTGAATTTAGAGCAATCATAAGGACATAGTAGAAGAAAAACAGTCTGCATTTTAATGGAGTTTGTTTTTTGCAGACAAGGCAAAATTTTCCATGTGGACGGACGGCACAAAAGCAAGTGTGAAAGAGCTCGATTAAAAAACAGCACACAGGGCCAAGAAACTGTTACGATTGTTTTGTTTCAAAAAATAAAAACAAGCAGAGCACATGTGCTGGGTATGAACATGATAGAGTATGAAGTTTCTCACTGCAACTGTAAACACCTTGGGAGCGCCTTTCAACAGCTTGTTCCGCCGAGACAGTAATGCAACAGGCCTCCTTAAGAGCCTTTCAAAAGTTTATTCTGTGTACATATCAAAGAGTTCCTCCAATGTAACATAATGGAAGTTCCTAAATCAACTTCATCATGGCTCTTCTGCTCACCACCTTTCCTAGGATAGAAAGAAGCATGCAGCAACAGCACTTGTTCCTGTTATTATCCTATCACAAATATTCAAACCCTGCCCTAATGACCCAGGCAGATATGCCCAAAAGCAAGAGTGACCAAGACTACTGTCCTGACTGAGAAGTACTTGACTCTTCAAGACCTCACTAGATATCTTAACAGAGAGTAAAGAAAGGTGAAGAAAGTAGGGT